TATTTAGATATATTGTGCTCTTCACATGATGTTTAGACAATACTTACTTGATTTGTCATCCTTGCCAATTGAATCAACCTAATACACACACCCCCTTATCATATTGCAACACATCCATTACCCTCAATTGATCACTTGTTAGTAGTATAGAAAAGTATTGCTTGGTGGTGATCTCTACACCCCAAGACCTCTCTCTCTCTTGTTTACCTCATATTATTTTATTTAGTTGAATTTAATTTAGTATAATCAACCAATCAATCAACAATTTTGTGATCATTCGACCTACTAACCCTAATTACCATAGTTTCACAATTCAATACACCATCAAATCCCTTGGGACGATCCCTACTCGCCCTATCTATATTTTATATAGAGAAAGGTAGTAGTGGCTTTCTATAAATGTAAAACTTGGCCACCTCCTAAATTCACACACAACTCTTCAAGCTTGACTTGATATCGCGACCCTTGTAAAAGAGGACCCGGTCAATGGCCCAAAAAGCTTGATGCTCTAATTCAGCCGAAAGGTGACATGTTTTACCATAAACAATCTGGTATGGTGACATGCCAATTAGCGTTTTGAACGTAGCTCGGTAGGCCCAAAGCGCATCGTTCAGTTGTAATGACCAATCTTTGCTGTCCGGTTGAACCGTCTTTTCAAGAATATGCTTGATTTCCCGATTAGAAACATCCACTTAACTACTCGAATGAGGATGGTAAAGCGTGGCAACCTTATGACTGACAAAGTCTTTAAAGAGCACAGATCGAAGATAACCATTGCAGAAATGAGATCCTCCATCACTCAAGAGTGCTCGAGGTGTGCTAAACCGACTAAATATGTTCTTTTAAATTAGCTGGACCACTGCAATATGGTCATTGGTTATGGTTGCCTCAGCTTCTATCCATTTAGATACATAATCCACTGCTAGGAGAATGTAAAAATAACCATATGAAGATTGAAATGGTCCCATAAAATCTATTCCCCAAACATCAAAGATTTCAATAATTAAAATGGAGTTCAATGGCATCATGTCCCTTTTTAAACGTGGCCCCAAGCTTTTGATATCGCGAACAAGACTTGCAAAAATTGTAAGCATCCCTAAATAATGAAAGCCAATAAAATCCATTCTAAAGGACTTTAGATGAAGTCTTTTTGGAACTAAAATGTCCTCCACATTCAAGAGTGTGGCAGAATTTCAAGATGTTTTGGACTTTAGATTCAGGAATACATCTCCGAATTATTGGATCCGGACAATACTTGAACAATTCCGGGTCTTCCCAAAAGAAATTTTTGATTTGAGCGAAGAACCGGTCTTTCTCTTGCTTAGACAATTTTGATGGAATTTTTCCAATCACAAGATAGTTAACAATGTCAGCAAACTAAGGAAACGACTCATGAGAAATCTAGAACAGTTGCTTATCCGGAAAAGAGTCATGAATTAGATAAAAATCAAAAGTGTTCTCAATAAGAAGCCCAAAAAGATGGTCTACAACTACATTATCAGTTCCTTTCTTGTCCTTAATCTCGATGTTGAACTCTTGGAGTAAAAGTATCCAACGAATGAGACGAGGTTTGGTCTCTTTCTTCGCAAGTAGATGTCTTAACGCGACATGATCCATGAAAATGATGACCTTGGATCCAAGAAGATATGAACAGAATTTATCCAAGGCATAGACAACCGCTAACAATTCTTTCTCAATTGTTGTATAATTCATTTGAGCATCTGACAAACTCTTGTTAGTGTAGTAAATAGCATGAGGAGTTTTATCCACACGCTGGCCCAAAACAGCACCTAATGCATAGTCGGATGCATCACATATGATTTCAAAGGGTAGAGACCAATTAGGTGGTTTTATGATTGGGGCAAAAGAGAGTAGTGAACAGAGCTTTCTAAAATCTTCCAAACATGTTTCATCAAAGTTGAAATTAGTGTCATTTTCAAGAAGATGGCATAAAGGCCGAGATATCTTGTTAAAATCCTTAATGAAACGAAGATAAAAGCCAGCATAGCTAAGAAAAGATCAGATTTGTCTCACCAAAGAGGGAGGAGGAAGGCTATGAATTATTTTAACTTTTGCCTTACCAACCTCAATCCCTCTTTTGGAGATAATGTGTCCCAAGACAATCCCTTCTTGTACCATGAAGTGACTCTTTTCCCAACTTAAAATCAGATTGGTATCTTTGCATCTTTGTAGCACGAGTGATAGATTATAGAGACAAGACTAAAAAAAAATCTAAAGATAGAAAAATCATCCATGAATACCTCAAGAAATATTTCAACCATATCAGAAAATATAGACATTATGCATCTCTGAGAAGTGGGCGGCGCATTACATAACCCAAAGGGCATGCGACGATAAGCGAAAGTTCTAAAAGGACAAGTGAATGTAGTATTCTCATAATCTTGAGGATTTATAGCCACTTGGTTATAGCCAGAATAATCATCGAGAAAATAATAGTAACTTTGGCCAGCTAACCTTTCTAGGATTTGATAAATGAATGGAAGTGGAAAATGATCTTTCCTAGTTGCAAAGTTTAGTTTCCTGTAATCAATGCACACATGCCAACCACTTGTGGTACGTTGTGGCACAAGTTCTCCCCCTGAATTTTCAACAACGGTAAGGCTAGACTTCTTTGGAACAACTTAAGTAGGACTTACCCACTTACTATCCGAGATGGGGTAGATGATTCCCGCATCTAATAGCTTGATTACCTCTTTCATGACAACCTCCTTCATGTTAGGATTCAACCGACGCTGCACCTCTCGGGAAGGTCTAGTTTCTTCTTCCAAGAGAATGTAGTGCATGCAAATGGAATGGTCAATTCCTTTTAAATCAGCCACTGACCAACCAATAGCTTCTTTATGCTCTTGTAACACCACTAAAAAGCTGTTTTCTTGGTCTTGAGAAAGAGTCGATGCAATAATGACTAGAAGAGTTTTGTTTACACCAAGAAATACATACTTGAGATTAACCAGAAGCGGCTTTAACTCAAGTTGAGGTGGTGATTTCAATAAAGGGACAGAAGGAGTGCTGGAAATTAATGGAAGAGGTTCTTTTGGCATTTTCTAAGAAGGAAAGTCCGAGATTGCATTGGCTTCAAGCAAAGAATTGACTTTACAAATGGATTGATCAATGTCATAATTTTCAAAGTCAAAATGAGCCAAACAAGTTTCCAGAGGATCTTGACTTAAAATAAATGGAAGAGATTCTTCAACCAATGATGTCAAGAGAGAAACATTTATATTCCCCTTGAGGATGTTGAGAAGCACTAAAGATGTTAAGCTTCACCTTTATATTTCCAAAAGAAATATCCATCACCCCAGTTCGGCAATTAATTGAAGCATTAGTCTTACCTAAGAAAGGCTGACCACGGATCACATGAATATGTTTTATTAGATTATGTATTGGTTCAATATCTAGAACCACAAAGTCTACCGGGATGAAGAAATTGTCCACCTTGATGAGTACATCTTCAATGATACCACGAGGTTGCTTTACAGATCTATCCACAAGTTGTAAGGCAACCGAAGTGGATTTGAGTTCTCCTAACCTAAGTTGCAAGTATACTAAGTAAGGAATCAGATTTACACTTGATCCTAAGTCAAAGAGGGTCTAGTCTATCTCATTGTCTCCAATGACACACGAGATTGTCGGGGCACCCAGATCCTTAAACTTTGGAGGTGTATTATGCTGAATGATAGCACTTGCTTGGTAAGTTAACCTCACCTTCCTTGGAATATTGCTCTTAGAAATCTGTTTTTGAGTACACAAATCTTTAAGAAATTTTGTATAAGGTGGAATTTGGTAATGGCATCAAGGAGAAGAATGTTGATCTTTACTTGCTTAAAGACTCCAAACATGTCCTGAATTTTATCTCATTTTTTTCCAAAATGTGTGGACTCTATGTGGCATTGAGGAAAAGGAGCTTTAGGCTCATAAGATGTCTCAACATTTTGGATTGGCAGATTTGGAATTTCAAGACTAACTTTTAGATTTTTGAATGAAGAAATTAAATCCTTAGGAGTAAGAGTTTCAACTTTTCATTAACCTTGTTGTCCACAACTCTTCCACTCCGAAGTCTGTTGATTGCTTGAACTTGCTCAAGATTTGATCCACTTGGAGGAATGATCTTATCAATCATATATTGCCCTTTCGGGTTCACCACAAGTTGAGTTGGAAGTTTTCCTGTGTCCTTCTTGTGAAGCTGATTTATTAAATTAGCCAATTATCCCAGTTGAGTTTCAATATTAGCTATTGGTTGAGAATGAGTACTAACCAATTGCACAGTTGATTGCATACCACTAATGGCAGCCATTATCTGCTTGTTAGAGTTTACTAGCTTATCTAGTTAGGACTATTAAGAAGGAACATGATTCTGATTAGGAAAATTTGCATTATAGGAAGGAGGATGATAGCTTAAAAAAACTTGAAATGGTCGGTTCATGGACTTTGAATTAGATTGATTTGATTGCCTATGACTATGAAATGACGAATTTTGTGGGGCTTATTGCCTTCACAAGAAATTTGGATAATCTCTTTAACCTGGATTATATGTATTGGAACAAGGATTATTTCCAGGGCAAGAGAACATGGCATTAACCTGTTCTGGCATACCTTCAGAAAATTGCTCCGATGTGGGGCAATCTTCTGCATTATGAAAAGTACTTGTGCAACGTGCACACATAGCACTTGCTGAAGAATTCTGAGAAGATGAGAGATGTGGTGCCATAAGCTAAAAAACTTTGTGGGCTATGGCATCCACTTGAGAAGATTCTTCCCTAAGAGTCCGTGGTTGACACGGATTTAAGGGTTGAACCACATTAGATGTTGAAGCTTTACGAGAACTATGTTGCATAGAATTTTCACTTATATTCTCAAGTAGAGTCCATGCATCATCTGGATTTTTGGACATAAACATGCCCCCACACGAAGAATCAATTAATTGTCTATGTGGTTCTGCCAAACCATCATAGAAGGTTTGCACCAATTGCCACTTTGGAATTTGGTGGTGCGGACACTTCCTCATAAAATCTTAAAGTCTCTCCCACGCCTCATAGAATATTTCGCCATTAATTTGGGAAAAACTAAGAATGGAACGACGCATTTGATTGGTTTTACTCACAGGATAGTACTTTTTACGAAATTCCTGTTGCAATTCGACCTATGAAGTGATGGAATTAGCAACAATAGAGTTCAACCAATATTTTGTTCTATCTGTCAAAGAAAATGGGAAGAGAAGCATATGAAGTGCATCTTGGGGGAAATCCCTCATCTTAATGGTGGAGCAGATTTCCAAAAACTCATCAAGATGTTTATTGGGATCCTCATTATCAAACTTATAATATGTTGGAAGCATTTGAATTATGGAAGATTTGATCTCATAATGATGTGCCTTAACATTGGGCATGACAATGCATGATGGAGATATGTATGTAGAGGGTACAAAATGGTCCCTAAGAGTCATTGGTGCTAAATTTTCATTTTTAGAATTAAAATTTCTGAGATTATCATGTTAATTAGCCATTTTATCTACTTCAATTTCAAGTTCTCTTAAAATTTTAGGATCCCTAAGGTTCCTTCTTTGCTACCTAAGAGTTATTTCAAGTAAAGCAATATCAATTGGTTCCTCAAGATGCGGTAAAGAGGATGATCTACGACCTACCATCAACAACTAAACACAACAATCACAACAACCCTTCACCAATACGTCCATATACATTGATCCCTTTCTCCTTAATTCAACAATAATGAAAACAAAATAAATTAGCCATGACAAGGACCTATGCTCTGAATAAAACAAGAAATTTGCAATAGCCTCGACAAGGGCCAAACATAATTTAACTAGGAACTTCAAAAACTTATTCAAAGTCCTTAAGACTTCAAATATCTCAATTAAATCTCCTGGAAAGTCTTTAGTCCCTAACAACACAAAAACATCAAAAACATGAAAATATATATACAATTAAACAATGAAGAAATTTTTAAATTCTGATTACAAAACCGTATGCAATCCCCGGCACCGGCGCCAAAAAGTTGATGCGCATAAATGTATACCACTTAAAAATACCACTTATAACAATAGCATATTCATCATTGCAGATAAATGCTATAGTAGGGGTGTAATGACCCTGTCATTTTCCTTCCTTTCATTTTTTGGTGATTTTCTTTTTTCGTCTTTTTCCTATTTTGTCTTTTCCTTATGTCGTCTTCTTCGCGTTTATCATTTTTCCTTGCATAACCTCACTTTTTGTGCTCGGATTTGATTCCAGTTTTGTATGCATTCATGATATTTGATCTCTATGATCATTGTATTTTTACTTTCGTAGAAAATACATTCCAGTTGCTTACTTTTCGTAAAGGGTATGGATGCATACTTTATTGTAATTATTATTGATTTTTGGGGTTTTAGTGTAATTATGTAAAATAATTATTTTTCGTCTTAGGGACCTTTTTGCAATTTAATTTGGAAGATGTTTTGAAAAAGGACTTTTTTGTAATTTTTGGAAAATGTGACAAGTGTCACATTCTCATGGAGCCACTTGTTGGCATTTGGGTGGGGAGACTTGGAAGCATAACCTATTGACATTTGGAGGGTGGAAATTCACTCACTTATTGGCCTAGGATTGGTGCACTTATTGGCTTAGATGGTTGACAAGTGTACGCTTAGGATTAAGCCTAGGAAGGAGCCTTAGATTTGTGACAAGTGTAAGCTCACCATTTAGTCTTGCATTGTGTGTGTGAGAGAGGTAGTGTAAGAACACATAGTGAGTGGAGGATTTCTAGACCTTTCACTGACCATTTTACACTTTATCTTTTTCATTTCTTTGTTCTTCAAAACCCGAACCTGGCCACCATTGGAGAAAAGCTTAGTTAATAGCTTTCTTCTTCATTTTGGCCTCCTTCCACTCACCTTAGACCAAAAACCTTGGAAGACAAAAGTTTCCTCTTACTCTCCTCTTCAAAACCATATAATTGTTTTCCATTTTTAAGCTTGGTTGCTTGGATTATAGAGATTCAATTCTCTATTGAGGTAGGGGTGGTAGTATGTTTATATTTTGAGTGTTTTAAGTCCTTTGGGGTTTAATATATATTGTGTACATGCTTTTAATATGATAATCTTGCATATTATAGGAAACCCTTACTTTTGACTTAGGGTTTATTGATTTAAGCATGTATTATATGTATTTCCCTTGTGTAGAAGGATTATACAATTTAGTAGTATACTAATTTCTAGTATTTTCACATGTGGTAGTGATATAGAACTCTTGTAGAATTATAAATGCTATATACAATTTCTATTGACTTGAATTGTTATATTATGGTGGTGATAATTCTATATTATTGTAGAGGCATGATTTAAATTGATGAGTTGGTGATATTGTCGTATACCTTATATCATGATGAAAACTTGTCATTTATTATGCCATTCTAGACTTGGAAACCTAAGACATAATATGTGTGGTTCCAAAATACTTGTGCATGGAAGGTGATATATATGCCTTAATATTGTGTATAAGTGTTGAACTTCATACATTTTCGATTCTCTTGGGACATTGTTACAAGTGACATTTTGGCTCTAGTGCAGGAGGTATGAGTTATCCCCGTTTATAGTGCGCATTAGGGTGGTATTCCCAGTGGGTTAATACCCAGGAATAACCATTTAGGTCTTGGCTTTATCCAAGGCATGATGTCCAAGTATTCCACTATTTGATTTCACATTAAATTCTAAGTTGACAACTAATGTTTAATTGTGACTTGTGATTTTGGTTAATGGCGAATTGATGTTGTTAAGTGCATTGATAATGTTGTTGCATTGTTATAGAATCATTTAAATTAGCTTAAGATGATTCCTTAGAACACCTTGAACATAGACGTTAAGTGGAATGCTCCCTTGTATTCGTCTATATTGATCTTGCAATGACATTGAAACTTTAGGGTATACGCATATGCTTTTTCCTACGAGTAACTTGATTACTCACCCTAGTTGTGTAGGTTATTTTACAGGTAAGGAAACAATGTTCTTGGATGCTCATCATCCTTAGAGGCTTATGAGCACTTTGGAACATTTTTGCTTATGGACATACACTTGTTTAGCATACTTACTTTCAAATGATATATATATATTGTATACCATGGATGTATGGTATTTTGTAAGCTAAGATGGCTTTTTTGACATGTAATGTGTATGTAAGTATATTTTTGGAGCTTATTTTATATGTATAACATGAGGCCAAGGGCCATTAAACTTCAAGTTATATGTATGATTTTTTAAAAAATACAAGTTTTGCCTTAATAGTGTAATTGTGGAATTGAGGTTTGGAAGGTCAATTTTTGTAAATGGATTGCAATGAGATAGTAGGCCATTGTAACGTGTATTAAACATCATTTTACACTTACGGGCATGCTCACATTTAATGAAACTCTCAAGTTGCAACTTTTGAACTATTTATGGAAAGATTTATGGATTTTATGCAAAAATTCATGCATGGGAGTAAGTTTCAAGTTTCTCTTTGGTTTTGCATGTTGTTTATACTTCATTGAGACTAGGAATCATGTTTAAACTCATTTTAAATCAAATGGAATACTTGCATAGCATCAAAGTTGGATAGGATAAGCTTTACACACTCTGCAACAGCTTTTAAATTGCAACAGCAGAGGCGTCAGTCGGCTGATGAAGCCCATCAGCCGACTGCCACATGCTCGATGAGCACTCCAGTAGCCAATTTAGGATTTTCATCGTTTCGGTCGGCTGACGATTAGGGTTCAGTCGACCGATGATGGGGGTTCAGCCGGCCAATGAGAGCCCTTTAGTCGACCGATCCTCCCTAGGAGCATCTCATTTCATTTTCCTTGGGCAGTTTCCTTGCATCTATTTCAGGGTGCCATAACTCTTCCATTCTTAATCCAAATTGGTTTGTTCTTGAGTCTAAGTTTAAGAGCTTGAAGTTGGCTTTCCAATGGTACCAACCATACTTCAAAACTCCACCTATAGTAGAGTTATTTCTATTTTAGTGAGATAGGTGCATGACATCTCTTAAACGGAGGGTGTCATTTTGTTCTCTTTATATCTTTTCCGTTTGGACTCCAAATCAAGCGATTCTTGAGTCCAACTTCATTCATTTTTAGTTGTCATTCCAATGGTATGCCCGGTAGCATTCATTTTAGTTTTACCCTTGGTTCACTTCTTTTCAGGTTAGGCATTCTTGCTTTCTTTGCTTAACTTATTCGAGTTCCATGGTTTCATGGGGATTTATCTTGGTGCCTTAGGGATGATGTACATCTCTAGAGGTCACTTTTCATATTTTGCTTCCGTATTTCAGATCAGTTATCGAATCATCTGTTGGTCATCACTGACGCACCGGGTTTATAAAACTTTGGCCTTCACAAGGGGGTTGTCGAACCACAAGGATTGTTAGTTTATGGCAAACCAAATTATAAAACTACTTCCTCAATTTGATAATAGAGATGAAAAATTGATTGGTTTGTCACTTAACCTACAAATTTAACTTTCATAAAACAGTAAATAACGTGAATAGAATGGATTGAACTTATAAAGAGAAGGTTAGGGAATTGACTTCACCTTAACCTCATAAGCATGTTAAACTTGCACTCAACTTGGGGATTAACAATTATATACATAAAATGATATGTAAAAGCATAAAACTACCACAACATCGTCAAGAAGATCATACATTCAGGACTAAGCATAACCCATCTTTGGTTAGCTTGGTTCATCCACCTAAACTAGATTGTGGTATGAACCATCTTCCCTAGGCATGGCCTATGAATGTCCTTCAATAGTATGTTGCAACACATGAAATCAATTAAATGTCATAGATTATCTTTAGTTGGTATGGACCATCTACCTAACTACATTAATCTAAGGGTGTAGCATGGTCCATCTTCCTTAGGTATAACCTATATAAATGCTCAATTTTATGCAAATATAACCATTTCATAAACTCTTTCCCATTGTCACTATAGGAAATCAAGTGTAATATTTGTATCAATATGATTTCTAAGACAACATAACAAATCAACATAAATATATATTCATATGATAAACACATACATCAATTCAATGTAAAGTACATCAAGTCAATGTA